TGAATGTAAAATTAATTTTTAGTATAATATAAAAAATGAAAAATAGGTGTTTGATTTGATATTTTTGGGGAGAAAAAATGGGATGAATAGTGGAAATCTAATCCAATCCCCCATTAAGGTCTCTTTGACGAGCGACATGATCATCAACTTTTGGCCCGTTTCTTCTACGACCAGCCATTGCTAACCAAAGCTTTCATACCAACTTGATGCCGGGAAATTAGAGAAGTAGGACCACAAGAGAATACTCACCGCTCACCACTCTAGAAATCCACCAAAAGAGTTTAGAGCAAAATATAAGAAGACAATATCTTCCAACAAACTTAATAGCTTAATGTATTTCCAAGTTCTCCTTCAAACTTACAAAAGATAGTCATAATACAAGCATCAACTTAAACTCCAAATAAATGTAATCTTAAATAAAGATAGATAAATAAATGAATATGAAGAAACCAGGGTTCATAATGATAAGATGAATCATCAAAATTAGCAAACTAAAAGTTGGTCGGTGACTCTTTGCAGTCTGCCACGCTTCAGTGAAATGGCCGTAAGGTTCTGTAGGAATATTATTTTATAGATCTGTAATTATTTTTGAAAAAACTAGACTCGAAGAGCTTTGTAACCATATAGGATATGCACCGCCTTCCTAATCAAAGTAGTTTAATTATTGAAGTTGATTGACTGTTGGTGATCTCTTGCTGCGTTAATGCTGCCAATTTTTCAGTTTTTTCTCCCGCTCTTGCGTCAGTGGAGATGGAAATGAGTTTATTAGAGGCAAAATTGTTGGATAATCGGTTATTTATTTAATCAATGAAATTAAATTTTGAATTAAATTCATATTTGGAAAAATGATAAATATGTGAGTAACGAGCCGAAAAACCAAATTAATTGGATTAAATATGTGCTTGGGTTAAGTATAGTCATTGGACTATATGAGTGTTTAAAGGATATTTAACAAATTAATTAATTATTTATCCCATACTGAAACTTGTAACACAAATAAGTTGTGTTAAATACAATTTCTTAACTAGGACATATAGTGTGACTAAGGCATGACATGTCGGTGAGCCGCACGCGCTGCCCGTCCGAACTGGACACGAAAACCATGAAATGAACTCGAGTCAAATATTATTTTGTCATGTACAAAACGATAAATATTTTTATCCCGAAAAAGTCCGCACATGCATACATGATTATTTGAAATTCAAAAATTTAGAAATTATATTTATAACTGGAATTAAATTTAAAGTTTATGTCGAGACGTACCCATATTTGTTCATCAACAGTTACCGGAGGTTTTGGCTCTAGCAATAAATGTCCCGCACGGTGGAGGTGCCTATAAAAGGCTCTCTCCACACCCTCTCAAAATATATCAAGCTCTCATCTCCCTCTCTAATTTTCTCCTCTCCAACAAGGTTTCCGGCGAGTTCTTCGGTTACACTTTCCGGCAACTCTCTTGTCATTCTAGCCTTCCGACATAGCTCAAGTCCCCTTATTTTAGTTAATCGGAACTCTAAAATATTGAGGTTCCACGTAATCCGGAGATGATAAGTCATTTTATATTTGAAAATATAACGCCATGAACCGGAGGCACTATCGGGGCGTACTCATTTTGCGGAAAAAGGTTCTATCTCGACTCGACGTGATTATCGAATTTATTTGATTAATTCTTATTAATATCAAATTTATTTTGATAAATTAATTTTATTATCGAATTTTATCTTTTGATAATTATATTGTTTGATATTCTTGCGATATAATAATTTTCCAACAAAAAGGACTTCAGATTCTTTTTGGGGCGGAAACAGTTGCAATGGCTGTATTTTTGTTTAATATATCTCCTTTGAAGGTTAATTTGAATCGAACACCATATGAAGTGTGGAATGGTTGAAAGCCTCGGGTGAGCCATTTAAAAGTCTTCGGTTGTATAGCATATGCTTTAGTTAATATATCTAAGATCGAAACTTGATAAAAAATCTGAAAAATGCATTTTCATCGTTTATTGTCATCAAGCTAAAGAATATCGCTTGTATAAACCCAAAAATCTGATAATTAGCAGGGATGTTATATTCAACGAAGATGATGCGATAAAATGGAATGCTGACAAAGAAGGTGTCTTGAAGCCGATTCCTGTAATTCTTTTATGAAAGTTCAGTCCCAAAAAATAGCCCTGCAGATCAATGGTTCTGCTTCTACAAATTCAGCAGCAATATCACCTCATAGAAAAAATAGCAACAGCTCAAACTCATCATATTTAGAAGAAAGGAGTCCATCTTTGAGCAGCAACGATAGCGAAAATTTCAAAATGAATATTTAGATGTTTAACAGAGATTTAAGAAGCATATGATTTTTCTTTATGTGCAGCCAATCCAACCTGTTTTGAGGTAGCAATAAAATATTGAGAGTGGAAACAAGCAATGGCATAGGAGTTGAAGGCAATTGAAAAAAATTCAACTTAGAAATTGGTTGATGCACCAAAAGACAGAAGCAAAGTTGGATTGAAATGGGTATTCCGTAGAAAATATAATGCAGATGGAAGCATTAGGAAACATAAACCTCGACTTGATGCAGAAGGATAATCACAACAATTTTTCTCTAGTTGCTCGTTTTGAAACTGTGAGAATTATCTTTGCATAAGCTGTTCAATCAAATCTCTTTGTGTATTAGTTTGATGTCAAGTCTGCATTCCTAAACGGAATTTTAGAAGAGGAGGTGTACGTTTCTCAACCCCTGTGATTCAATGTTGCTGGTAACGAAAATAAAGTTTATAAGCTAGGAAAGAAACTTTTGTTGGAAAATCGATTTTTTGTGGCTGCAATCAAAACACAGTGAAAAAACAGGGCTGGATGATTTCTATTGTTCACTCGATCTCTGTGCTGAAAATCACCACCTTGATTTACGTAATATCCTCTCAATTATTGACTCATCTACCTACCTCGAATATGTGAAATATAAATCAAGAAAAATCTATCATCTAATTTATTTCGTAAACAAGGAATAAGTAAATTACGTCCAAGATTAGTGCACTAAATTAAGTTATACCAAAACAAGTTTATCTCCTAACACCCCATCTTAAACTTGTAATCTTCATCCTTTCACCAATCCGATATGGCTACTCAATCTCCAAAAATCTTCTTTCTTCAATGCTTTCGTGAATATATCAACCACTTGATCTTTGGACTTCACGTAATTCAGCAACACTTCTTTTTGTTTTACACATTCTCGGACATAGTGATATTTTGTATCAATATGCTTGCTCCTTTCATGGAAGGTCGGATTTTTCCCAAGCGCGATTGCTGATTTATTGTTGATGCAGACTTCTGTTGCTTCAGCTTGCTCAATGTTCAGAATTTTCATTAATCTTCTCAACCAAACAACATGGCAAACACATGATGCAGCAACCACATATTCAGCTTCGCAAGATGAAAGTGTGACAATCGGTTGTTTCTTTGAACTCCAAGAAAATGAAGTGTCACCAGCAAAGAACACAAAACCTCTCGTGCTTTTCCGATCATCAATATCACCACTCCAATCACTATCACTATACCCACTCATCCGGAATTCAGCACTGCAGAATAGAACAACCAAAAGCTGGAACTTCGTTTAATGTATCGAAGTATTCTTTTGGCAACCTTTATGTGATTAATGGTCGGAGCTTCTATGTATCTACCTATCAGTCCAACTGCGTATAAAATATCAGGTCTTGTACAAGTCAAAAATCGCACTTTTCCAACTAGTCTTCTAATTAAGTTACATCAACTCTTTCACCGTCGTTACATTTCAACAACTTTGTGGCAGGACCGTCTTGGACTTTTTTGGGCCCCTAAGCAAAAATAAATTACAGGCTATTTAAACACATGATTACAATGTATTTTCAAAATAATATCACTGATTGGTGTCGATTGTACAAGATATTGAACGTGACGGTTTGGACAGTGTTGATTTAAGAAAAGACGATGAAAAATGGATTGTCCGGAGGTTCAAAAGGCGAGAAGGATTAAGGGAGGGTGAAAAAGAGAGAAGAAAGAAGGTGCCAGGGTTTGGTCTGAGCTGGTGGACGCAGTGCAACAGGGTGTGAGGCAGAGAAGTGTAGACTGGTGATTAAATTTAGAAACATAGGGTGAGGTATGGTCAGGAAGAAGAGACATGAAAAGGTATATGATTAGAGTTTAAAATTATTTTTAAAATTAAATAAGATAATTAAGAAGAAGAAAAAATATAAACTAAAATTTCAAATTTAATTTTAAAATTTGATAAGAATAATGGATAACATTTTAAAATATGGGCCATCTATTAATTAGGAGTCTGAGCAATTGCTCACCCTGCTCCTACAATGAGCCGCGCCTGCTTTGTACACTCCACCGGAATAGCTACTGGACGGGATCGGATCATCGGTCCAAGTTCTATCATGTCTAATCAGTCTAACAAATAAAAACATGACACGTGTATGTATGTATGTAAGTATGTATTATTATTATTATTATTTTAAATCACAAATTACAATCTAAATTGTAATCTCTCAGTAATTAAATAGTTGCCCTAGCCTGTGACAGTCGACGCCGCCACCACGATCGACGCTGCCGCCGCCACCGCCACCACCGATCGACGCCGCCGCCGCCACCGCCACCACCGATTGACGCCGCCGCCGCCGACACCAAAATCAGCAGGTTTATTTTATTCAATTTCTGTCAACCAAATCTTCGCCAGAATTTCTGTCCGCTCTAGCCGAATTCATCCCCCGACCCCGAAGAAATCTCCACCGTTGTCGCCGCCGAAATCAGTGTGTGTTTTGTATTTTTTACTTCGAAATTTTTAATTATTGAAATTTACAGTTCCTTTCATTTCATTTCATTTCTTATTTTAATGTTTAATATATTTTTTTTATATGTTCTTTTACTGTTTTTTTACTTCATTTTTTATTTTATTGTTTTGTATTTTGTATAATGATCTTTTATTGTTGTATTTATGAGTAATGTATCTACACAATACGTTTACAGGTGATGATGGAGATTGATGAGTTAGGAAAGAATAAGTCTTCGTCTTCACGTCGATTAGACTTTACAAATATGGAAAATGATCGTCAACATATTTCTCCCGAAGAAACACCTCAAATTGGAAAGGAGTTTGACAATGAAGAAGAAGCGTACCAATTTTATTTGGCTTATGCTAAAAAAGCGGGTTTTGGTATGAAAAGACACAAAATGCATAAAGATCGAACAGGAAAGATAAAATGCAGAATGTTTTCACGTAGCGCTGAAGGCACAAGGGGAGAAGATAAAAGAAATATTAATGTGAGAGCACCACGAGCAATAACAAGATTTGGGTGCAAGGCAAAGATGAGAATTCGATTGAAAGAGAATGAAAAATACGAAGTATTTGAGTTTATATCTGAAAACACTCATCAACTCGTTAGTCCTCAGAAAACTCATTTTTTCCCGTCACATAGGAGAATAGATGAAGTTCATGCTTCCCAGATAGATATGGCTGAATATGTGGGACTTGCTCCAAAAGTCTCACATGATTTAATGATTAAGGAAGCCGGTGGCCGGGAAAGCTTAGGGTTTATTAGGCAAGACATTAAAAATTACTTGCGATCTAAGAGGACTAAGTACATGGAGGTTGGAGACACTGGAGGGGTATTGGAATATTTACAAGGGATGCAAAACAGAGACTTAAATTCTTCGTATTCTATTCAAGTGGATGAAGATGATATGATTACAAACATATTTTGGGTCGATGGTAGAATGAGAGCAGACTATTTTGATTTTGGGGACGTAGTTTCTTTCGACACTACATATAGAAAATATAGGGAAAATCGTCCCTTGGCCTTGTTTGTTGGTGTTAATCACCACATGCAAACAATAGTTTTTGGTGCAGCACTTTTATACGATGAGACTATTCCCTCGTTTGAGTGGTTGTTTGACACTTTTGTCAACACCATGTATGGAAGAAAGCCAACTACAATTTTGACAGATCAATATCCAGCTATGGCAAATGCGTTGGCTTCGAGGTGGCCTGAGACTCATCACAGGTTTTGTTTTAGGCATAAATAGTTCAATACATTATATTTGTAATTTTTTATAGTATATATATATATTTTCGTAGAATAACTTACTCCTAAATTGTTAATTTTGTAGGTTATGTATTTGGCATATTTATCAAAATGCCGCGATACATTTGGGTGGTATTTTTGCTGAGCATAAAAACTTTGCGCATGATTTTGGGAGATGTGTTCATGATTTTGACGAAGAAGATGAGTTTTTGCATGAATGGAATGAAATGTTGGTAAAATACAATTTGGTAGATAATGATTGGTTGAGAAGGCTATTCAATTTGAAAGAAAAATGGGCGTTGGTGTATGGTCGTCAATTCTTTTGTGCTGATATTACGACGACACAGCGTAGTGAGAGTATTAACAGTGTGATTAAAAGGTATTCTAGTTCAAAGAACAACTTGCGGGTGTTTTTTGAAAAGTTTGAAAATTTGGTTGAATCTCGTCGATATGAACAGTTGCAGGCCGATTTCAAAGCAAGTACTAGTGCGCCTGTGCTTCCATTGCCAATTCAGCTCCTGAAACATGCCGCGAGTGTGTATACCCCAGAAGTTTTTAAAATATTTCAGAAGGAATTGGGAAAAGTGTATGATTGCGTTGGATCTATTACTAGATCGCATGAAACCATTACGGAATATCAGGTTAGCTATCTTGAGAGATCAAGGTACCATATTGTGAAATATGATTCATCAGATAAGACAGTTGCTTGTAGTTGCAAGAAATTTGATTTTTCTGGAATATTATGTTCTCATGGACTGAAAATTCTCACAAAAAATGATGTATTGAAAATTCCGGATCAATATATACTAAAGAGGTGGACAAAAGATGCAAGGCTAGGTGATTTGCATAGTAGAATGTATGTCGGGGACCACAGTATGGATGATCCGAAAAATGAGTTAAGCTTGCGCTGTAAGGATTTGAGTGTTTTATGCAACAAACTGGTAACGAGAGCTTCAGAAAATAAAGAATCTTATGAGTTTGCCAGAGATGCATTGTTGAAGATAACTGAAAGAGTGAATGAACAATTACAGAGTCGAAAAGAGAATTCTGATGGAATATCTTTAAAGGACTTTGACATTGTTGGTATGAACAATAAAGACAACATTCACATAAAAGGTATAAAGAATAGGAAGAAGGTGCGTTCAGGTAAAAGACCAAAAAATGGATTGGAAAGAAACTCAAAAAAAAAAGAAGCAAGCTGAAGTTCGAGGAAATGAGTGTTTAGTTGAGACCCAGGTGCGCACTTATCACTGCATTGTAAATAATTTTATTTATTCAAAGAATTTATGATAACTTTATTTATTATGCAGACATTCACTAATGAAGCCTGCCTAGTATCCGATAGAGCAGATTATTTTTTAAAAATAAAATTTCTAATTTAATTATAATACTTATGATTTAATTTTTGTTTATATTCAATAATTCCTTGAATTGTTTTTTATTGTCCTGTATTATAGATTGCAATAGTCAACCAAATGTCAAATATACAATCTCATTATTGCAATGAGTCCGTTTATTCTATAAAGTTCACAGAATTACTTGAGGTATTTATTTTATGATGATATGAGTTTACATTAAAATAATTATTTTACTAGTTTTTACTTTTACTTTTTTTATTATACATAAATTTAGGTTCAGTCATCGCGTATTGGCGGTGAATGCAGTGGAAATCCTCGTGTCTAGCCACTAAAATTTTCTGAAAAGGGTATTTATAATAAAAAATGGCAATGTACTAATCTAGTCTGAACAACAAAACTGATGTTCAATAAAAAATTTATGCTTCTTAAAATCTTTTCAGGTTTTAGGACTGATTGAGCTTGAGCCAGAGATGATTGATCTTGATTCTCCAGAATGTTTTCATCGGATCAGAAGCTGTTGAACAACATTCGATCGTGACCACTGGAGTCTTCCTGGACTAGCTTATTTAATATGTTAATCTGCTTTTTTATTAATTTAATGTATTAGCTTGCAAACCTTTATTGTTCACTCATGTATTGCAGGACCTCACACTTATTTTGGATGAACCTTTGCACTGAGATTTTTTTTTTTTTTTTTTGTTTTTTTTTTGTTTTTTGGATATATTCGGCGTAGATGTGTATATTTTTGCTTTGATATTGTTTTGGATGAAATCAAATCTAATATACTGCTGACAAATTTTGTGTCCTGGTGGAGACTTTGGCATAGTAATAAAATTGTGTCCAAAATATTGAAGTTAAAATAACAAATTGAAATAAGCAAGAATCAACATCAATATACCATCTAATAACTTGTTAGTAGTCTCACAAACTGCACAATGATATTTATATATTAGTGTTAAAGTAAAATAGAACTAGCAAAATTACTTTAGAGAATAAAAAAAATTTAGATCATTCATAATGACTTTATATTTTCAGCTGAAAGCTTCTAATAAGAAAACAACATCAATAATTATTTGAATAAAACAAACATGTAATTCAATTAAGTAATGACTTAAAATGCACATAAAACCATTTGAATGAAATGAACTTAAGAATCTTCAAAAACCTTATAAAGGTAGCGGTGACACCATCTGATCAATATGATTCACAAACACCAAAGCAAATAAAACTCAGCTCAAATCAAACATCCCAAAATTCGTATGCTAACACATTCTATAACTAGAGAGCATTGAAAACCAAATTGGATTGAATTTTTATGAGAAAAAATTATCGCAGTCATGCCTAAATACACATAAACTACATACCATTAAAACCACATCCACCAACAACAAAAACAACCACCCATAATATGAACAATTTTCTTTGTGGCTTCACTTTCTTATCGTTCACTTCCATCTCCATTTTCTCTTTCAATTAGTTCACTTCCTTCTTCGGCGACATCGATAGGAAGGGCCGGACTCTCGGTCGGGTCAAACTTTGGGGAAAATTATTGATTGCGATGAATTTTACAGAGAGGAGAAATATTGCTAAAGCGCGTTGGCAGCAACGGTGGTTGTAGCGTCGGCAACGAGCAACTAGAGAGAGGGCAAATTTTGGGAGAACTACGATGTGCACTCACCCTACCGGATGGAATGAATCAGATCTGAATTTGAGTGTAAATTATGATTTAAAAGAGATAATTAAAAATTCCGAAGTAAAAAATACAAAACACACACTGGTTTCGGCGGCGACAACGGTGGAGATTTCTTCGGGGTCGGGGGATGAATTCGGCTAAAACGGACAGAAATTCTGGCGAAGATTTTGTTGATAGAAATTGAATAAACTAAACCTGCTGATTTTGGTGTCGGCGGCGGGCGGCGTCGATCGGTGGTGGCAGTGGCGGCGGCGGCGTCGATCGTGGTGGCGGCATCGACTGTCACAGGCTAGGGTAACTATTTAATTACTGGAAGATTACAATTTAGATTGTAATTTGTGATTTAAATAATAATAATAATACATACTTACATACATACACGTGTCATGTTTTTATTTGTTAGACTGATTAGACAGGATAGAACTTGTACCGATGATCCGATGCCCTACTGGACTACTTCTCTCCATCTTAAATTCCTTTAAAATTGTCTCTATTGGAAGTCATTCTAATTTAGTTTCTTAATATTTATATAAATTTATTAGGATAAAGAAAAAAAAAAAAAGGTGGTGAGCAGTTCGATTCAGTTTTTCTTTTTTTTCTTTGATTTTGTTATCCATCGAATAAGAACATCATGAATTAATTTCCCCTTATGCTAGTGTTTTTCTTGCTATTTAATTTTGCATCGATCATTTTGGAGTGTTCCTAGATAAATCTTTGTAAGATTTCCAACACTTGGTAGCAAGGTTGATGCCCAAGTATCTCAGATTTGAAGCCATGTCAATTGCAACACAGCAAGGAAGACAGGGCAGTGGGTATACCGTTTCAATGTCCCATGTTAACCCCAACAAACTATACTACATGGGCAATCAAAATGGAAGCGATTATGGAAGCTCAAGGGATCTGGGAGTCCATCGAACCGCTGGCCGGAGTGGCTATAGATGATAAGAAGAATAGAGCCGCACGAGCATTTATCTTCCAGGCCCTGCCAGAAGACATTCTATTGTAAGTGTCTCAGAAAAAGACCGCAAATGAGATTTGGGAGGCCGTAAGGATGAGGTATCTTGGAGCCGATCGAGTGCAAAAGGCTAGATTAGACACATTGAGACTTGATTTTGAAAGGTTAAGAATGAATAATGGAGAAAGAAATGATCGATGACTTCGCTGAAAATTGAGCGGTATGGTATCGAAATTTAATAATCTTGGTGCTACACTTGAAGATAGTATGCTTGTTCGAAAACTTCTTGATTTGGTTCCAGACACGTACTTTCATTTGGTAGCTTCAATTGAACAATGTTCTTACATAGATACCATGTCATTCGAAGAAGCCATTGGCCGACTCAAGGCATATGAAGATCGATTGAAACTTCGTAGTGGAATACTAGTGGTGAGGGAAGCTTATTACTCACCAAGAAGGATAATCCAGCAAGTCAAAAAACCTGGGGAAGGAATTCATCTTTGGGTGAAAGAGGATGTGGATCATACCATCATGAAAGAGGTGGCTAGAATGGTGGTCGTGGAAGAGGGGCTAGACGAGGCAGAGGTGGGTGTCGAAATTACACACCACCTTCACCTCGAGAGTATGGGAATAGTCAACACCGGAACAGAGACAAGCCATATATAAAATGTTTCAATTGCAAAAAATATGGGCATTATGCTTCGGAATGCAGAGTCCCAAAAGAGAAGAAAGATGAGGTGAATCTGACCGAAGCGCAAGAAGAAGAACCTACACTACTTCTAAGTGTTTTTGGGGAAAATTCAATAACGATGGCGTTGCTCAATGAGAATAAAGTGTTTCCGGATCAAAATTAAGGAAGTAGAGATGATTTTTGGTACTTAGACAATGGTGCAAACAGTCACATGATGGGAAAATTGGAATTCTTTGCGGAACTTAATAGGGAGATAACGGGGCAAGTTCGATTTGGTGACGGATCCACGGTGAAAATTGAAGGTAAAGGTTCTATTCTATTGAAGTGTAAAAATGGTGATCAACAATTAATTTCAGATGTCTACTATATTCTTGCCTTACGGAATAACATCCTTAGCTTAGGACAATTGACAGAAGCGGGATATAAGCTAGAAATGGTGATGAATATTTAAAGGTATATGATGTATTTGGAAAATTGATTATGAAGGTACAACGATCGGAAAATCGGTTGTACAAGATTCAGCTTCACACTGCACAACCAGTGTGTCTTGCTATTAGATGAGGAAGCATGGTTGTGGCATGCAAGGCTTGGTCATATTAATTTTCGAATCATGGAGTCGATGGTTGAGAAAAATATGGTGCATGGTGCGCAAAGAGTGAAACACCCTGATCAAGTATGTGAAGGGTGCATGGTATCAAAACAGCCCCGCCACCCTTTTCCCAAGGAAGCCAACTATCGTGCATCAAAGCCATTGGAGTTAGTCCACGCGGATTTGTGTGGACCAATATCACCTCAAACATGGGGTGGAAATCGCTACTTTCTTCTGATTGTGGATGACTTCAGTAGATTCATGTGGGTTTATGTTATCAAAAGTAAAGACGAGGCGCTCCAAGCATTCAAGAAGTTCAAGACCCAAGTTGAATCTGAAAGCACAAACAAGGAGAAAATGTTAAGGACTGATCGAGGGGGTGAATTCACGTCGCAGAGGTTCAATGAATTTTGTAACATTGAAGGCGTGAAAAGACAACTCACTGCGCCATACAGTCCACAGCAGAACGGCGTGGTGGAGCATCACAACCGAACTATTCTTGAAATGACGCGTTCACTCTTGAAGGCAATGAATGTACCTGAAAGATTTTTGGGAGAAGCAGCACGTCATGCTGTGTATATTCTAAATCAAGGCCAACAAAAGGGTTGAAAGGCATGATCCCTTACGAGGCTTGGAAGGGAAAGAAACCGTCACTTGAACATATCAAGGTTTTCGGGTGCGTTGCTCATGTGAAAAAACCAGTTAATCATCTAACAAAATTAGATGATCAAAGCTCAAAAATTATTTATTTAGGGGTAGAACCTGGGAGCAAAGCACATTGCCTCTATGATCTTTTTCAGAACAAGGTATGTGTAGCACGTGATGTTCTTTCCAATGAGAAGATGACGTGGAATTGGACTGCTGTGCAAAATGATCGACCAACAGCCTGTTCAGGCTGGTTTAATGATGAAGTCCATGATTCAGATGAAAGTGCCAATCGAGACCAGTCTCCAAGTGATGAAGAAACAAGAAGTCCAGCTCATTTGTTTGAAATAGTTCCGAATGGAAACATCAGTGATTCCTCGACTAATATGACACATAGTGAGCATATAATCGAAACATTTGAGGGTAGTCCAGAAGTGAGTCCAACAGCTTACGATCACACACCCATTTGTGGATTTCATTCGCTATCAGATATCTATGCAGATTTAGAAGCATTTTGTGTTAAGCAAGAAGAATTGTTGTTGGCTGGGGAGGAACCAACAACATTTCAAGAGGGAGTGATCAAAATTGGCAGGAGACGATGAAGAAAGAGCTTGAGTCAATCAACAAAAATCAAACCTGGAAGTTGACAGTGCTTCCCCCTGGATATAAACCAATCGGGGTGAAATGGCTTTACAAATTAAAGGAATATGCCGAAGGAAACATGGTGAGACACAAGGCAAGATTAGTGGCGAAAGTGTATGTGCAAAAGAAAGGAGTAGTGTTACGTACGAAATTTAGAATTAGGTTAAAAGCCCAAGGTAAAAAGGAGAATGGGCCTGGCGATAGAGTTGGTTGAACTGGTTGAAGGACACCATGTGTAAATCAAGGAAAATACGGGACGGAAAGACTTCAGGTCGGAAGGTCTTCAGGTCGGGAGGTCCTCAAGAC